AAATGTGCTCCTTTAAAGATATACTGTTCATATGTGTGTGGGTTACAGCATACATCTGCTTACCTGTTGTGGTTCGTGCGTCTGTCTATGTGCAGCCTCCCTGGATGGCTGTTTCTCCGTTCAGGTTTAGTCAGATGTATTCCTGTCTCTCTGGCTCCTGTGGCTGTAATTCCAAATACCCGCGCATTTCTCGCGGTTCGTGAGCGGCTCGATGGATTCCCTGCTGAGCGCAGACTTCCCGATCAACGAGCAGCAGGTGAGGAAACTTTCTTCCGGCCGTGTCTCTCTGCCGCCGCCTGGTTGCCGCTGAAGCGTCCTGACGCGCAGCTGACGTGCTCAGCGGTGTTCCATGCCGAGCGCAGACTTTCACGTCGGCTAACAACGGATGTCTTCCTCTCTTGCCGTTTCTCCTTTTAACATGTCCACACGATCACGGCACTGAGTCCCAGATCGCCTCCTCAACAACTTACTCCACAAAGATAACTTAGAATGAAGCTAGCTGCATTACGCATAGTTTGTTGTAAACAAGGAAATGCGCACCTCCGCGTTGTTTTCAGTCCCCGCCCCCTGAAAAGGTGTGACAGTGTGTTAGTGTTGTTTTTTTAACTATGGCAACCCACTAGGGACAGCTTTGTGTAAGTTGTGGCGTTTCCATGCTTTGGAGGATGACCATGTGTGTGTTTGGGTCACCAACGTGCACTATTATCTATTATCCCACAGCCGTGTGCAGACTGTTTTGATGCCTGCATGTACCAGAGAAGCCCAGTTTTTGGGATACAGTGCGAAGGTTTCACTGTTTTTCTGCACTTTGCAGAGCAAAAATGAGGAAAAAAGATGTAGGCCACTAAAGATAAAAGGGGAGTGTTCAGGACCTTGGTAAGGCATCCAGCCCACACAGTGTTTTGGTTGGTGAGCTATCACGCGCAGTGGAGCTGATGCTGAGCGCAGACTTTATGACGGCTCCAAGCTGGAAAATGATTTTTAAAAAAACCTCCATTCCAGCCAGGTCGAGTAGGCATACCTTGAAAAAGAAATTCATTCATTTTGACTGATTCTTTACCAACATATTGCTTGTGGGTTCAAAGCTAATGAGCTTGGTGGGTCCCTGCTGAGTGCCAACTTCCTGGTCAGCTAAACAGCAGGTGAGGAAACTTTCCTCCAGTGGTGTTGGCATCTCACTACTGACGCCTGATTGCCTCTGGAGCATATTCCTTGCAGTAGCCAGCTAACGCTAGACTGTGACAAGTGCAGACTGGGACAGCTGACAGTGGGCATCTACCCCTTTCCTCAGTGGGTCTGCATGGGCTCAGAGTGATGCCACTGTCATGGGGCTATCCTTTTGGAACACAGACAAGGCTCTGGGCAGTAGTTTGACGTTTTACAGTTTCGTATGTGGCAACCCCAGATGACAACATTTCTGAATTTTGCTTCAGGGCCTTAATTTCCTGACTCCAGAAAGTGGACAGAACTTCTAAACTTACCTCCATCTCTTCTGGCTACAATCTTAGGCCAACTAGGTTTTCTGTCTTTGCTCAAGGGACTAATGGCAGGTATAATACATAGCATCCGTCTCCCTCTCCTGTGCATGCAGTCTGTCCAAAGATGTCTACTGAACTTTGGGCTTTGTCTACAAGGGTCTCTCCAGACTAGGGTGGTGGTTTCTGAGGGGACTTCCAAACCCTCTGCTGGTAAAGCAGGGGTGTCCAATCCTGGTTTGATGATGAGCTGATCATTTGAATGCAGCATTCTTTTTCCTCATGGCATGATGACCCACCTCCTAGGATGGGATGCCCTGGCACACACATGGCCCTGTGGTCTGATTTGAGCCTTCACACCTTTTGTGCTTCTCCAGCCCCTCCTTCCAAAGATTCAGACAGAAGTAGTAGGACTGATTTTGGTGGTTCCTCTTTGGCCCCACTTTCAATGGTCCCAGTGATTCACCTCTCTCAAATGAGACACCTTAGAACCTTCCACTTTGAAAAAGACCTGCTGTCTCAGGCTGAAAAAACCCTGTTTCATCCTTTCTTGGCTGGGCTCAGATTGGTGGCCTAGCCTCTGAGAGGAACTGGTTCCTGTCCATAGACTTGCCGAGGCCTATGGTGAGAACTTTGTAACCATCCGGTCACCGTCCACAACAGCTGCCTACTTGTATGTTTCGGGGCATATTTACCACTTGGTGTAGACTAGGGGTTCTCAGCTGGTCTCATTCTGGGACCCACATTTTCCCATGGTAATTAAGTCGCGACCCACTTTTTTTTTTAGAATTCAGTTTTCAATATATTTTCCTGTGCAACATGCATTTCAGAGCATATACCCATGCACAGTAACTGGACCATGACAACTGCGTGTACAAAACTGCACAAAATAAATAAAGCCACAAAACAACATATTTTCACTCCATGTTGAGCAAATTGATAAGAAACTAAGGAGGACCATGACAACTGCATGTACAAAAGTGAATTAAATAAATAAATATCAAAACTACTTGAAAAAAAAGTTTTGGCCTAATCAGGTCATTTGTTGAACTTAACCAGACAGTTGGGCACGTGCTCTACTCTTGATTAGAGTTTCAAAGTCTAGGGTGACAGTAGACAGAGCAGCTCTCAGATCATGCTCAGTGTCTAACCTGTTTCTCTGCTTTGGCAAGAGCTGGACCAAGGTAGAGAAGCCACTGTCACACCAATAGGTTGAGCTGAATTGTAAGATTGTTTTAACTGCAGGAGTGGCGAGGCATGGATAGTCAGCCGTCACATTGATGCACCAGAAGTGGGAAAGGCTTACCTCCCCAAATCTCTTTTTCAGCATCTGATCACATAACAGCTCCACCAGCTGATGCTCTTCGTTGCTTGGCAACGTGATGTTTTCCACGTTGATGCCAAAGGGGTCATGCATCCAGTCAATGGTTGTAACTTTGTAAAAGCGTGACAGCACCTCGACAGCCAGCGGACTTCTGGGTGCGCGCAGGCTCCGACGAGCTGGAAGTGGCGGGAGGCACAGGCAGCTTTTGGCTACAAAGACCAGTTTAGGTGTTTACGTTAGCGTTGACAACACCGTTTCTGCAGCGGCACCGTTGGGGTGGGGGGTGGGAAGCTTATTATTCAGATGGGGGGGTGCAGGTGCTGAACATTCGGTCTGGCCGGCGGTCACAGTGCTGTATTGGCGGTGGCAGCAGTGGGAATATTCAGAGATCAAAATTGATATCCCGATTCCAGCACAGTGAACGAATAGTTGGCTGTTAGGCTATTCAGGTCCAGCCCTAGTACGAAAATTAACATTTTCAATACTCCGGGTCATATTTGCGCTTTGCCATCTTGCATGCCAACATCAACACAAACTTAAAATGAACGTCAAACAAACTATGGTTACCATACCTGTCAAAACAAAGGGTTTTTCAAAATAAAAAACAAGTCCAACCTGAGACGCACATTATATATTATTTATTTTTGACCAGCTGTCTGCGACCCACCCAGAACAGGTCCACGACCCACCAGTTGAAAATCACTGGTGTAGACTTCACCAGATGGATTCCAACTCAGCACAGCTCACGGACTCCTGCTGTTCGGACTATCTTAGCTGGAGACGGGGGTATTCGGAGATCCAAGTTGCTATCCCAATACCAGCACAGTGAATGAATAGTCCCGCCATAGATCTTGGGCATAGCCGTGCCTCGTCTGGGCTTGGTGGAGCACATCCAGTGCAGACAGGCTGTTACGAAGACTGACGAGCTCTTCATTTGTTTTGACTCCAGCAATTTGGGCAGGCCCATGTTGAAGTCTTGGCTGTCCTGCTTGATTATGGACACCATTCAGCAGATGTGTTCTTTCCAGGTGTGAAAAGTAATTAAAGGAGCTGTGAATACTTTGATGGGCACTGTAAAGCTACAGACACAGAAATAGTCTGTTCCTGAGGCAGAAACTGTGTGTTATTTTCAGATACAAACTTAAAAGACTATGTTTTGTTTTTAGGGGCATCTCAGAGACGCGTAACTTACCCACTAAGAAGGACTATAAAAGGTGACTTTTATGATCAAGAAAGTGCAAGGCACTAATGTGCTGTCTCGCTCCTTATTTTTAGTGGTGAAATAATTTTTTTTAATGCCACAGAAAAACATCCCAACACAATAAACTATAGAGAGAATGTAATTATATAAATGTAAATATAAAACACTGTAGATCTAAATGTGCAAATGCTTCATTGTTTACTGGAGAATGAACACATTTTCTTCAATCTAAGTATTAAAGCACATGCTGGAGAAACTGTAAAATATTAACATAACATAAAATTCCAACATTAAATAAGACATTTTCGAAAACAGTGCATTTATTCAGGTACTGTTCACTCAAAGTCCAAAGTCTAAGGTCTTTGGACTTTGCTCAAATGTTTCTGTTATAAATTTTATACATATAATGAACCACTGTTCAGCCACATATAATACAAGTTTTACTGTAGTGCTTTTATTTGACAGCTGTAGTGACTTATCAAATGAACAACTCTGTATACCTGCACAACTGTTTGGATTTTCTCTGGCTAATCAGAACTTTTCGAGAAATTTCAAGAATTCTGCAATGAATCTAAACATTATAAAGTCCATAATTCCTGTGAAGGTTTTCAATCTTCCATTTAAACATTTATCATAATTGAACTGAATGTTCAATTGAATGTATTCTATCGCACTATGGGTGCAAATATGTCATCTGTATGCAAGCACATGCACACTGGCAATCTTGCCTAAATGCTTCAGGCTATCTCTAATTTTGTTTGACTTAGACATTTGATAAAAGTCCCATTTTTTTCCATCAGCAAACGGCTTAGTTCAGCAGAACCAACTGATGCATCTGTGGAACAGGAAGTTTTTTCTCAGCTACAGTCTGCAGAGAATGCTGATAAGAGAATTGCACAGGTACAGTGTGATCTGTGTTTGGGTTGAAAGACAGACTGAGCAGGTATAAAAGAGCTGAGCTGAACCAAGAGAGTGCAGATGTACTCACCATACTGACACCATGCTGCAAACACTGGCCCTCCTGCTGCTTCAGGCAGCATATGGTGAGTAGCTTGGCTTGGTTAGAGGAGCTAAAGTTGTGCAATTCTATCAGACATTGACGTTAAGCACTTAAGACATTTCGGTTATAGATTCTATCTTTGCCTGCTGGTAGTTTTTGGATGTGGTACACCTGCTGTCAAGCCAGACACCAACAGGGTTGTGAACGGAGTGGATGCTCGCCCTCATAGCTGGCCGTGGCAGGTAAATGCAGTGCATCAATGTGCCATAACTCTCTTGTTCTCTTATATAGAATTACTGTATATCACCTTTTTTTTTTCTCCTCACAGATCTCCCTGCAGGTGAAGCATGGCAGCCGTTACCATCACACTTGTGGAGGGACTCTGATTGGATCTCGCTGGGTGCTCACTGCTGGACACTGCATCTGGTTAATAACTGCATGATCAACAGATAAAAGTTCAGACCTCGAGACAGAAGCATTGCATAAAAAGCATATAGACACACTGCAGTGTGACACAAATGCCAGAGACGTAGAGGGAAAGAATACTGCTAAATAGGCAAAACTGTCTTTCAGGCCAGGAGATGTGTACCGTGTGGTGTTGGGAGAGCATGACATGACCCAGCAGGAGGGAACTGAGCAGATCAGAGATATCCTGCGTATTGTTGTCCATCCCAGCTGGGACATTGACCATGTGGCTGATGGGTCAGTATATTTCAACTACTTACAAACAAGCTTCACAGAGGCTTTCACCTCCTTGATTGGTAAAAATCCAACTATAACACTGATTTTCCCTACAGCAATGATCTTGCCCTGCTGAAGCTGGATAAGAGCCCCATTATGAATGACAGCGTGGGCGTGGCTTGTCTACCAGAGGCTGGAGAGATCCTTGCACATGGAACCCCATGTTACATCTCCGGCTGGGGCAACCTTTACAGTAATGTTACTTTGTCCTTGTCTGTCGTGCTGTTTTTGCACTGCAGGTCATTAATTAGTTCCATCTCATTAGGTTTTGAACTCAGATTGATGGCAGTGTCGCCAAGAAGAACTCAGTTTTAACGTTAGCGACTGCTCAAAGTCATGTATTTTGCTTTTGTGTAACCAGTAATGTTACATGGTTATCATTTCTGATGACCAGTGTAAGAAACACTGACCTTCATTTTAATTTGTGTCTGTTGACCGGGGATACATTTTATGTTTTCTTTTTAGTTCCTGCAGCAGTTAACACTATCACCTTGCTAGGAGGTCCTGGGTTCTCCAGCTTCCTCCCACAGTCCAAAAACATGTTGAGGTTATTTGGTGATTCAGAATTGTCCATAGGTGTGAATGTGAGTGTGCTTGGTTGTCTGTCTCGCTATGTGGCCCTGTGATAGACTAGTGATCTGTCCAGGATACACCCTGCTGTCGCACTAAGTCAGCTGGGATAGGCTCCAGCCCCCCTGCGACCCTACAGAGGATAAAGAAGTGTATAGATAATGATTGGATGGATGAATAATTACTGGATGCAATGATTTATTTTTTTCTAGCTGCACATCAACAGAAGCCAAGCAGAATGAAAATTATGGAAACTGTCACCTGGAAATTGAATTGGAAATTTGCAATTTAAATGATTTCAACTGCTTTACATTTGAATGACAATTTAAAGATCACCCACAGCACCCCTTTTGCCACTCAGCCTCACTGCCGGTTTTTCCCAGTGGACCACTGCAGTGTTGCAATTTTTTTTTAAATTCAATAACATTCCCGTAGCCAACCATTATAAAAGAAAAATCTGCAAAACAGCTGACAGAACTGGTTTGTAAAAACCTCTTTTCAAAACTCCTCTTGAAAACTATTCTGTGCATTCATCATAACTTAACGTCTATGAGCAGAGTGAGAACAGGTGGGCGGAGCTAGCAGGCCAAATTTAAATGCATGTGTGCATTGCACCACAAAAAAATCCAGTAGTTATTTCTCCTTGATACATCTACTCTT